TCAAGGGGAGTATCTTTTATATGCTCATTTGCCCTCTGCAGCTCTTCTCTGCTGAGGTGTCCATTCAGCTCTTTTATCTATTTTGAAATCAGATTGTTCATTTTCTTACTGTTTAATTTTAAAATGTCTTTATACAGTTTGAATAATAATATTTCTGAGGTGTGCCTTTTAGAGATATTTTCTCCCAGTGAATCTTCTCATTCTCTCAGGGTTCTATGTCAATTTAAAATCATTCCAATGAAGAAAACTGCAGGCCCAGATTGTTCACTGGTAAATCTGAGCAAAACATTCAAAGAAGAAAATTACAGTTCTACACAATCTCTTCCAGAAATAAAAGACAGAACACTTTCCTATACACTTTAAGAAGTCAGCATTCCTTTGATATCCAAAACAAGATAAAAGAAGGAAAAGAAAAATGCATTCCAATATCCTTGATGAATATAGACACAAAAATTCTGAACTAAATATCAGGAAATCAAATACAATAATACATGAAAGGATAACATACTACAACCAGAGGGATTGTCATTTTTCATTCCAGAAAGGCAAGGCCAGCTCAGCGAAAATCAATGCCATTTACCATATTAACTGATTATACAAGAAAAACAGTGATTATCTCAATAGATATAAGAGAAAAATTTATAAAATTCCAACATTAATTCATAGTTTTTAAAAAAGTTCTTAGGATCAGCAAATGGCATAGTGGTTACATTGCTGGAGTCCCACATGGCTGACTGCAGGTCAAGTTCTGAGCTCAGTGGCTTGAAAAATCACACAGGGCACGTGTGTGTATGTGCCCAAGATCCTGGGAGGAGAATGGAGATAGAATTGTGACAGAGCCATCCTCCCTGGGGAGTGATTTCTCACTTTCTCTCTTACTATCTCTGTCTATCTCTCTCTCTCTCTCTCTGGAAAGCACATGCGCCCTAAGGCAATAATCTCTCTCTAAAAAAGACCCCCAAAACAACTCTCAATGAGCTAGAAATAGACTAAGGTTCACTTTTTAACCTGATATAATGTGTCTGTGAAAGACACAGCCAACATTATACTCAGTGGCAACAGACTAAATGCTTTTTCCCTTAAAACCAGGAGAAAACATACAAATATTCTACCACATCTATTAAAGTAATGGTAAAGCCCCCCACACACCTCAGTCCAGTGCAACCAAGTAGCAAAAAGAAAAAAAGAGCCATATGCATTAGAAAGAAATGAACAATTGTCTATTCACAGAGGGCATGATCGTTTACATGGAAACCCTCAGAATCTACAAAAAGACTCCTAGTGCTATAAGAGAATCTAGCAAAGTTGTTATCAACAAGCTGATTCTAAAATTTATTTGGTGATACAGATAAACTAAAATAGCCCCCAAAACTGAAAATAAATAACAAACCTGAGAACTCATATTATCTGATTTCCAAATTTACTTTAAAGCTACAGTAATCAGGGCCATATTTTGTTGGCTAAAAAAGTAAGAGATCAAAAAAAGAGATATAAGAGAAAATGGATCAATACAAATAAAGTCAACTAATTATTTGACAAAAGTGTAAAAGCAACTTAATAAGACATATTATTTGAGGGACCAGAAGATGGCACAATGGTTACGTCGCTGGACTCCCATGTAATTGAGTGCGGTTCGAGTCCTGGACTGGGCAGTTTAAAACTCATGTCAGGCGTGTGTACATGAGAGGACAATGGAGAAAGGACTGCAGCGTGGCCATCCCCCTTGGAGAGTGATTTCTTACTTTCTGTCTCTCTGACTCTCTGTCTCTCTGTCAGCGCACATACCCTATACCAAAAATCTCTCTTTAAAAAAAAAAAAAAAGAGAGAGAGATCATTTGAAATAATTGGATGTGTATGCATATATGCAAAACAAAACAAAAAAAGAAAGATAAATCTCTTATCTTTTGTTAAAAATTAAATAAAAATTGATCATAGACCTAAATGTAAAATGTAAAAAATATTAACTTTTAGAAAGAAAATTAGGCAAAATCTCTGTGACCTTGTGTTAGGCAAAGAGTTGTTAGAGTCAACCCTGAAAGCATGATCTACAAAAGAAAAAGTTGATAAATTGGACTTTACCAATATTAAACTCTATTGTTCTTCAAAAGCCACTGTTAAGATAATGAGAAACTAAGGACTAGATCCATGAGAGACTAGATGAAAATATTGTAGGTCATACATCTGATGAAAGTACTTGTATCCAATATAAGGACTCTCAAAATTAAATATCAAGAAAGCCTAGTGAAAAAAATGAGGGCCTAAAGATTTGAAGAAAGGGAACCAGCAGTTAGTGTAATGGCTATGTCGCTGGACTCCCACGTGGCCGACCGCGGTTCACGTCCCGTTATCCGGTGGCTTAAAACTCACGCCGGGCGCATGTGCGTGAGTGCCCAGGATCCCGAGAGGAGAATGGAGGAGAAGGGATTGTGACCATCCCCCCTAGGGGGTGATTTCTCGCTTTCTGTCTCTCTGTCTGTCTGGCGAGCGCATACGCCCTATAGCGAAAACCTCTCAAAAAAAAAAAAAAAAAAAAAGAGAAAAAAAAAAGATTTGAAGAAATAGTATACCAAGAAAAGATGCACAATAAGTACATAAAAAGATGCTCAATGTCTTAATCATTAGGAAAAAGCAAATTAGAACCACAGTGAGTACAGCACACGCACCTACTTACTGGAATGGCTAAACATAACTAGACTGACCATGCCATGTGTTGGTAAGCATGTGGAGAAACTGGAACTCTCATACTCTGCTTGTGGAAATGTAAAACACTACAATTGTCCTGGAAAAATTGCTTGGCAAATAAGCACATTAAATATGCTCACCATATCTTTAGTCATCAGAGCAATGCAAATCAAAATGACAAAAAGATACCACTGTACATCTTTTGGAGTGACTGAAAAATTGTTTTAATTGAAACAAGTGATGCCAGGAATGTAGAGCAACTGTTGGGTTATTGGAACAGTCATGGTGCATTTTTGCATGGAAGGCATATAAAAACACATCACAGTTGTTCCAACAACCCAATAGAATTCTCATGCATTGCTGGTGGAAATGCAGAATGGTACTGCCACTTAAAGAACCTGGTAGTTTCTTATAAAGTTGAATATGCACTAACTGTAGGACTCAGCAATTCTATCCCTAGGTATTAATGCTAGAAAAATGAAAACACATAATGATGCAAAAACAAAACAAAACAAACAAAACACTAACAGGAAACAATGAAAATAAACTTCAGCTATCCAATGGCTAAACAAACTGATAAATCCATACAATGGGATACACCTGAGCAATAAAAAGAAATAAACTGTTGATGTACATAGCAACCTAGATGAATTCCAATTGCCTTTGCTAAGTTAGAGAAGACAGCGAGAAAAGGCCACATACTATATGATTCCATTTAGTGATCCACATGCTGAATTCAAAACTGAATTTATATGATTTATATGACATTCTAGAAAATACACAGGGAAGGGGAGTGGTCAAAACTAGGACATTTTTGAGAGGGTGGGAGTCCTTTGTGTGGCATGGTGGAGGTACATACAGTATTCTACTCATTGTCAAAACTCACAGGACTACATCTGGAGGAATGAGCTAATTAAATGGAGGAGGAGGAATTATGTTGTGGACAGTCACTTGGTTCTGTAAGATTAAATAAGCAGGTATGTTTCCTCTACCTGAAGAAGTTAACAAACTTAAATTGATTTTTACTGATTCTTTTTGTTATTCATTACTTCTTGCACCTACTTTCCATTGAATTTGCATTTTGTTTTGTGAAATTATGTGCTCTCAAGATGTTTTCCAAGTTGTATGATTACAAATGCTTTAATTTCTTTTACATCAGATGATTAAGTGGAGTTATATCTATATTATAATGCCAGAGGGCACATGTACTCTCTAGAGAGAGCCAAAAAGACACAGAGAGAAGGAAAGAGACAAAGCAATCCCCAGCAGGACATGGATGTGTCACAAACTCTTTTCCATTTCTCTGTCCTGTTGGGATTTGGGGCATACATGCACATGTGCCTGTGTTTTTCAACCTGCTGGTCCAGGACTTGAACTGCATGGTTGGCCATATGGGATCCAGCTCCCTTAATCACCAGGCCACAGTGCTCACCTTAGAGTTACATTTTCCAGGTTATTTTCCCTTAGATTATAAAGATTTGGTTCAACTGTCTTTGAGTTTTCAGACTTCCTCAGTTAAAGTGTGAGGCGAATACCTCTATAGCCTTTTAGGGTTTTTGTGTTTGGTGTCAGATATCTCATCATCCTGTCTAGACATGTACTCTTTGCCAGTTTGTCCCATATTTGGTCAGATTTCAACTCTGAAGACCAGTCCTTCCTTTCAGCTCTGGGTGAATTGACTTTCCTTTCTCCTTTGGTTGCCCTTCCGATGTGGAAATCCAACTTGGGGAACGTTGTACCTTCTGGAAGTATCATCTCTGCTCTGCTGTCCCCCTCATGCCATGCTGGGCTTTGCCTGCTCTTCTGTCCCCTGGCCTGTCCCACTGCCCAGCCTTTCCTGTCAGCCCACAGCTGAAGAGCTGCAAGGGCCCTTGCTCTGCTCGACTGTTGTCTCCGTGTAGCCCAGGTACAGGGACTCAGATTCACAACTCTCACCTGCCACCTGGAGAGAATCCGGGGGAGCAAGACACAGACATCTTCAGCTGCCTGTGGCGGGGGCTCCAGAAATATCTCCTTCCCCAAGATGTTTGTTCAAAGCACAAACACAGACTAAGGCATCAGCGGCCCTCAGCCAGAGCCACATGTTGCCAGACTGAGCAACCTCTGTTGTGTAAATAAACCAAAATTAGCAGGAGTTCCCAGACCCAGCCCACAGCATTAACAAGGAAGAGGTTTGTTGAACCTCCAGGTACAACAACACACACCAGCCAGATATAAAAGGCCAACAGCCCTGAGCATTTCACACCCTCACACACATTCACTCATCACTCACACACTCACTCCTCTCAGCTCAACCACCCACACGTCCACTTCTACCATGTCTGTCTGCTCCAGCAACCTGAGTTACGGCAGCCGGGTCTGCCTGCCGGGTTCCTCTGAGTCCTGCACTGGCTCCTCCTGGGAGATGGATGATTGTCTGGAGAGCTGCTGTGAGCCCCCCTGCTGCACCTCCAGCTGCTGTGAGCCTTCCTGCTGTGCCCCCAGTTGCTGTGCACCGGCCCCCTGCCTGACCCTCGTCTGCACCCCAGTGAGCTGTGTGTGTAGCCCCTGCTGCCAGGCAACCTGTGAGCCCAGCCCCTGCCAGTCCTGCACTCCCTCGTGCTGCCAGCAATCTAGCTGTCAGCAGGCCTGCTGTGTGCCTGTCTGCTGCAAGCCAGTGTGCTGTGTCCCCATTTGCTGCAAGCCTGTGTGCCCTGTTCCTGCTTGCTCTGAGGCTTCCTCTTCATGCTGCCAGCAGTCTAGCTGCCAGCCAGCTTGCTGCTCCTCCCCCTGCCCGCAGGCCTGCTGTGTGCCTGTCTGCTGCAAGCCAGTGTGCTGTGTCCCCATTTGCTGCAAGCCTGTGTGCCCTGTTCCTGCTTGCTCTGAGGCTTCCTCTTCATGCTGCCAGCAGTCTAGCTGCCAGCCAGCTTGCTGCTCCTCCCCCTGCCCGCAGGCCTGCTGTGTGCCTGTCTGCTGCAAGCCCATCTGCTGCAGACCCTCGTCCTCTGTGTCCCTGCTGTGCCGCCCTGTGTGCAGAACCGCCTGCTGTGCGCCCGCCTCCTCCTGCTGTGCACTCACCTCCTGCTGCCAGCCCAGTTGCTGCCGCCCAGCCTCCTGCGTGTCCCTGTGCTGCCGCCCCACCTGTGCTCGTCCAACCTGCTGCGGCCTCTCTCCAGTCCAGAAGTCCTCTTGCTGACCAGGCGGTACCACCACGCCAGTTGACTACAGGCTGCACCTGGGAACTGACTCCTTGTCCTAAATGCTGCTACCAATTAAACCATTTTCTGGAGACTGCTCCTAGGCTGAGGGACGTGGATGGATTAAATGTCCATTTTTAATGCTGAGGCACTGGGAAGTGAGTGCTTCTAGAAAGTCCCCAAGGTGGTGGTCCCCTCTCCATGTTCCTGTTCCCATGAGGGTCAGCTTAGCCTTTATCTGTCCTCTTTAGTTGGGTGTCACTGAACCTTCTCTGAACACATTGCAGCAATCCAGCCAGTAAACGCTCCTGACTTTGAAATGGCTCTGAGTTCTACGTGTCTGTTACTGGTACTTCTTGTCTGGAACACATGCCCACCTTTCTCTTTTGTACACACACCCTGCTGATCTTCAGGATCTGTGCCCACAGGCTGTGGTCCCAGGGGTTCAGACTGAGCATCAGAAGCTGGGTGGGCTTTACAGCCACTCAACCCCGTGAGGCTTCTTGGCTTTATCAACCTTCCTCATTCACATGATAGCTATCTTTGTTCGTGTGCTTTTGTATCTTCTCCTATCACAGGATACTTATCAAATCTGAATAATATCTTCTATCAATAGATCCACGTCTTTCCAGGGAATGCTCAAATGCATTCCAGGCTTCAAATCAGACATGTTCAGTTGTGTATTGCTTAAAATCCTTGCTCATGCAGTGGTCTGGTGGCTAGGACACACTGGTATTGGGTATCCGCTGCTTAGAGTAGAGTGAGCAGAAATGCTCTCTCAGCCCCTTTGGACCTCTTTGCAGTCACATCCGTCAGAATTACTTTCTGAGGTCTCCAAATGTTTGGCAGTAAAAGCAGAGAGCAAACACATTAAAACTGCAGTTCACATGTGGAACCAACTGGATCAGCCAGAACAGGACAGTGATGCTTTCTGGTTATTTTAAGAAGTCTTTAAAAATTATGTTTGAAGTAATTATGTGTCTGAGCCAGGAGGAAAAGGAGCCAATGGAGGAAGAACTGACTCTATTTTAATGACTATAAAATCAAAATGTATTTTGGGGCCAGTAGGTAGTGTGGTGGTCAAGGTGCTAGATCCCACATGGCCAACTTCACAGTTTGGATCCTGGAACTTGTGGCTTGAAAAACACACTGGGTACATGTGCATGCATATCCTAAATCCTGAGAAGAGAATGGAGAAGGGATTGTGGCATGGTCAAGCCCTCAGGGGAGTGATTTCTCACCACTTTCCCTCTCTCTGTGTATCTCTGTCTCTCTCCAGTGAGTACACGTGTCCTATGGCAAAACTCTATAAAAAAATGTTGAGTCCCAGACCCAGCGGCTTAAAACTCACACTGAGTGCATCTGTATGCGTGCCCAAGATCCAAAAGGAGAATGGAGGAGAAGGGACTGTGTTGTGGCCATCCCCCCTGGGGGGTGATTTCTCACTTTCTATCTCTCTGTCTCTGGCAAGCACATGTGCCCTATAGCAAAATCTCTCCCCAAAAGAAGAAAGAAAGAAAGAAAGAAAGAAAGAAGAAAGAAAGAAAGAAAGAAAGAAAGAAAGAAAGAAAGAAAGAAAGAAAGAAAGAAAGAAAGAAAAAAAAAGAAAGAAAGAAAGAAAGAAAGAAAGAAAGAAAGAAAGAAAGAAAGAAAGAAAGAAAGAAAGAGAAAGAAAGAAGGAAAGAAAAAGAAAAAGAAAGAAATTCAAAATCCAGGATGAAGAGAAGGTTTACGTGCCAGAGTGAGAGCACCCAGTTTTCCACAGCACAACTCAATATGTTGAATGTAACACATGAGACCAGAGAGTTAAAAATGACACCAGAGGGTCCAGCCTGATGACACAGTTGGTAGCAAACAGAGCTGCAGTACTGGAAGCCACATGCTCACTGTGGGTTTCAGTCCCCAAGTCTGCCTGAAACCACACAAGACATGTGCAACCCTCCCAAGATCTCATGAGCCACAGGGCTGGAGAAAGGGGATTACAGTGTGATGAGACCCTATCAGGGTGCCACCCCCTTTCCTCTCTGAGGCTCTGTCTTATGTGTATATGCGCTGTTATTATGAATAAAATAAATAAACTTTAAAAAATAAAATAAAATCACCAGAGCATTATAATTCCGTGGAAGGGTCTTCATCAGTGTAAAGTGTGCTTCCCTTTGGGTAAGCCAAGAGGAAAGGTTCACTCCTGGTCAAAGTACTCCATTCATTACCAAAGCCCGTGCTGTGATCAGAAAGTAACTCCCAGGGGACCAGGGAGGAGTGGCAGCAAGTGTGGGCAACCGAGGCAAGAGATGCTCCAGGCTCCCTCCTGTCTCCCAACAAGTCCCAGGTACATTTGTCTGCCACCATTATCCTCGGAGCCTGGGCTGCTGTGGACCAGGGAGGAGCAGCAGCAAGTGGAGCCAACTGAGGCAGGAAGACATCCAGCTGCTTGCCCACCCAGGAATATTTAGAGACTTTACAGTTTTCTGAACTGCTCAGGTGCTTGCACCACATGACTCCTTTTCCTTTTCCATCTGAAAAGGAAAGGATTAGCCCCAAGTGCACCTGGTCTCAAGAGAATGGGAAGGGAATCAGCACCCAGAGGTGGCTATGTACACACTCGTTGACTGGAAGCAAGGCCCTCTACCAAGGACACATGTAAAAAGTAAATTCTTCTTCTCCCCCCTTTCCCCCACTGTACAGTCAACAACAGAAAAGTGGGAAGAAGTGTATAATCCATCAGATGACTAGAAACCAGCGCAAAGACACAAAAAGTATGAGAAAACAAGTAAATGACGCTTTCTCAATGGAACAGAGCAACTCTTCTTCAACCATGGACAACACAAAGGAATTCGCAGGAAGGTCAGAACTAGAGTTCAGAACACTCATGGTGACAGAGATGAGGAAGTCTTTCCAGGATTTGAAGGAGGAGACAGACATCATTTTAAAAATCAATCAAAATTCCTAGAGATAAAGATGGTAACACAGGAAATCAAGACTTCCCTTGAAAGTATTAATAGTAGACTGAACCACACAGAAGACAGAATATATGAGCTAGAAGACAAAACCTTTGACTTAGATAAAGCCACCAAAAATAATGAAAAAATAATTTTTAAAAATGAGGAAAACATATGGGAAATACTAGAGACCATAAAACACTCAACTATTCAAATAATAGGTATCCAGAAGGTGAAGAATCAAACAAGGACTTAGAGGATCTATTCCATAAAATACTTGCAAGTCCTGATGGCTTCACTTCTGAATTCTACAAAACTTTTAAAGAAGAGTTAACCCCCATTCTACTCAAATTATTTCTAAAGATCCAAAAGGAAAGAACTCTGCGAAGTTCATTTTATGAAGCCTCCATCACCCTCATCCCCAAACCAGATAAAGACATGACAAAAAAGGAAAACTACAGACCAATATCTCTGATGAATGTAGATGCAAAAATTATCAACAAGATATAGCAAATTGTATCCAACAACATATAAAAAAGAGTATACATCATGACCAGGTAGGCTTTATTCCAGGGATGCAAGGGTGGTTCAAACTGCACAAAACCATAAATGTAATACACCATTTTAACACAAAGAAAGCTAAAAGCCATATGATCATATCAATAGATGCAGAAAAAACTTTTGATGAAACGCAACATCTCTTCATGTTTAAGACTCTCAGCAAAATCAGCATAAAAGAGTAATTTCTCAACACAACAAAAGTCATCTATGAAAAGCACATAGCTAACTTTATACTGAATAGGGAAACTGAAAGCTTTTCCACTAAACAGTAGTGCAAGACAAAGCTGCCTACTTTCTTTTTCAATATAGCGCTAGATATCCTAGCCAATGTAATCAGAAAAGACAATAAAATAAAAGGCATCCAAATAGGGAAATAAATGGTGAAATTATCTCTATTTGCATATGACATGACTGTACACATAGAGTACCCAAAGGTATCCATGAAGAAACTCCTGAAGTAATGTATGAATACAGTAAACTGGCAGGATACAAAATCAACAGCATTACTATGTAACAAGAATGAACAGACTGAGGTAGATCTGAGGAAAGTAATCCCATTTATCATAACCACAAAAGTACAATATACCTCAGAATGAACCTAATCAAAGAAGGCAAAGACCTCTACAAGGAAAACTATGAAAACCAAGAAAAAAAAAAATCAAAAAGGACAGAAAAAAGTGGAAGGACATCCCATGTTCCTGCATTGGAAGAATTAATATAATCAAAATGGCAAGTCTATCATAATTAATCTCTATATTTAACACAATCCCAATCAAATTACCAGACACATTCTTCATAGATCTAGAACAGACAATAATAGAATTTATCTGGAATTATAAAAGAACTTATATGGCTAAAGCAATCTTACGCAAGAAGAGTGGAGCAGGAGGCATCTCTCTCCCTGATTCCAAAATATATTACTAAGTTGTGATAATCAAAACAGCATGGTAGGACCAGCAGTTAGCGTAATGGCTATGTCGCTGGACTCTCATGTAGTTGACCGCAGTTCGTGTCCCGGATCCGGTGGCTAAAAACTCACAACGGGCGCCCAGGATGCGTGCCCAGGATCCCGAGTGGAGAATGGAGGAGAAGGGATTACGGCACGGCCTTCCCCCATGGGGGCTAATTTTTCGCTTTCTGTCTCCCTGTCTCTCTCTGTCTTTCTGGCGAGCGCACGCGCCCTATAGCAAAAACCTCTCCAAAAAAAAAAAAAAATTAGAAAAAAAACCCAAGCATGGTATTGGCACGAAAACAGACATGTGGGCCAATGAAACAGAATAGAGATCCCACAAATAAACCTCAAAACATACAGCCAACTGATTTTTGACAAAGGGTATCAGTCAATCCAGTGGGAAAATGAAAATGGTTCTGGAAAAACTGGGTATCCACCTGCAGAAAGATGAATCTGGATCCGTATCTCTCACCATTAATAAAACATCAACTCAAAGTGGATCAAAGATCTGAACCTCTGAACCTAAGACCTCAAACTATAAAACTAC